CTGGGTAAGGCCTTGAAAAACAAGTTAATCATGAGCACCGGGTGGTGGGCAGCTGTGACCCTTGGTCAGCTAACCTTGGTCAGTAAATCTTACATACCAAGCTTATCGTGCAGAACCTCCCTAACCATTGAGGAGTAGTCTTACCCTGCCCTTGCTTAACCCCAGGATATATGTCTTGCAAGAATAATGTATAGTTATAGAAAATTGCTATGAGTTAAGTGCTTTGAAATTGCTATATAAACCCTTGGCTCAGAGTGCTCGGGGTCCTTGTTGAGACCCGCTGCGTCGGGCTGACTTGGACCCCAACTAGTTGGCTGAATAAAGACTTTGCTTGAATTTACATCTCTATGCCTGTGTAGTTTGTTCTCTGGGGAAGCCTCGGAAGCCTGCACCCTAACACTGAGAGATCAAGTAAGTTTTTCTCAGAGAAGAAATCCACAAGCTATGAAACAAGTGAATTTTATCTTTAAATATTTAATGGCCCTTGAGGCAGGGATTTGAGCTTTGTCTTAGCTTTACCATTTTCAGCTTATCATCATTATAGATAAAGTAAGATTTGGTCACTCATTGATTCAAGTAGACAAAAGAAAATCCAATCAACATTTTTGTAAAATTTCAACAAATTTGACCTAAGCTTGTTATTGGAACTACTTTTTGTTGTTTCATGAATAAAAAGTCTGGAAGTGTTTTTGAGCTTCAGTCCATATATGATGGTTGAGATAGCATTCTTTTTTGTAAGTGCCAGAGGGAAGTTTCTTGTATTTTAGTAGTTCTTTCTATTTTGAATTCTGATTAAACAGTCTTTAAAGGATTAGTATAAATCAAACTATTAAGACCATTAGTTTATATAATAGGATGTTTACTTTAGTATTAGCTGTAGTTTTGTTAAATGATTTTTTCTTTGGAAGTTGCTTTGTTGTCAGTAGGAAGCCAGTGCTTTGTTTTCAAATTTTTAATCGCGATCTGTGATACATAGCTCAATTGTAATTCATAATATGTAGAAATTAGGAACAAAACCTAAAGTATAAGGACTATCAGAATGGACGTCAGCTCTTAAATCTCCAGCAGAGTAGCACACACATATCAGAGCTATTTTTATAGAATGAAGCATTAGTGACATAAAATATTTAGAAGTGGCAGCATTATTGTAAATCTAGACTTTTATTATTACAATTGTCATCAGTTTTGAGCATTAGCCAAATCAGAATGTGGCATGTTTAGAGTTTGAATAGCTTTTAGATGGTTGTGGCATTTCTCTTTATTATGTGAGAGGCAGACATTAAAGTACATAGATAATGAAATAGAGAATATCAAATATATATGATTATCTTAGCGTTCTTTATTTTATAGCATGAGTTAACAGACCTTTGTGGTTACCTGATGGCTATTTAAGAAATCCTAACCTCAAGGATAGTTTAGATATAGAAGACATCTTACTATTTTTGACAGAGAAAACTTGATTATGCTGTACCTATTAAATCGTACTTATACATTAAATTATCCAAAGGTACTGCATGTTTCTTTATTCTAGTAAAGAAATGGCCATTCTATAATCTATAAATATAAGAGATAAAAGTAGATTTCAAATTATGCTTGATTACAAGTGTTCTTCATTCTCTACTTAAAGTTTTCTCAGGTTGGCAAATACTAGTCAACATCAAACTTTGAAAGTTAGAATGAAGATCTTGAAGCCACCAATTAAACTAATACATTCAATCTGTATGATTTGAGCATTAAAGAGTTCCTTCCTTTTAATAAAAGCACTATCCATGTTAATTTAAGTTAGGTGAATGCCTACTTTTATAATTTATGGTCTTTACATAATGATAGATAATTTAGCAAAACCAGTAGGTGATATTAGTGAAATTCAAAGTATATATGCAAAGTTTTGCAAAGTTTTTATGCAAAACTAAAATCAAGGTTGTATAAAGTAAAACATTATGCTAATATTTTTATGAGGAGAGAGACATAGAGCTGGTTTTATGTCAAAATTATTAATCAATCTAGCATTTGAAAAGAACCACCTTAAGTAATTAAAACACATATACATTTTTTCTATGTAATTATATATCACATATAAAAACTTTAACATTGTTTAAAAATAATGCAGTTTTGTTTATAATGTAGTAGTCAAATACTCAGAGTATTTTTTAACTATGTATTTTTTAACTCTGAGTTACAGTTTGAGCAAAAAAATTTTGCAAAGAACCAATACATCATTTAAAGCATAAAGATATGTGATCTTAGAAATCTAAGTTTCTTTTATTTAAATTTGATATAAACATGTATTCACTTTTGTAAATAAGTCATAGCTCCACTGCATTTTAAGAGAAATTATATTTAAATGATGAAAGTATAGCATAGAGAATACAGTTAATAATACTGAAATATCTTTCTATGTTGACAGATAGTAACCATACTATGTGAGGCAAGCATTTAGTAAAGTGGATAAATTTTGAAACACTGTGTAGTATACTTGAAACCAATATAATATTTTATATAACTATACTTCAATAAAAAATTATTCTCTCTCTTCTGTCTCTAAGGTAAGAGATACTAATTTGCTTGCTTAAAACTGTATTTTTAAAAATTGAAAAATGTTATCAATGCTTGTCAACTCAGATGACAAGAAAATGTAACAGAACATGATTTAAAGTAAGAACAGAAACATTTGTATATATGAAAAGAATAAAGACATAAATATTTATGTGGCACACTTTATTTATACAAGAAAGATACATCATAGATGGATTTCATTTAACATGGCCAAACCAAAATTAATAAAACATAAAGGGCAGAGAGGGGAGAAAATTAACTGCAGAGATTCTGGAAATAGTAAACCAGATTTGCACTCTATTGGACAAACTGTTTAATTGGCTGACAAATAACAAAGATGTCTGTCTGGACAAGCTATCCTTAAGTATGTTAAGTAGGGAGATGAACTATTTTCAGTTTATGGATTATCCAGAAAGTCTTGAGAGTTTTGCAGCAGTATGTCAGGCTGTCTCTGAATAATGTGTACTGGATCTTTCCTTCACCACCTCCACCTTACTTAGACCAGGTCTGTACCTTTACTTTTTATAATTTCTCAATCTGCTGTGTTCATACCTTTTCATACAGCCTCTTCAAAGCTCCTTTTACATCTTTGTTTCTCAGAGTGTAAATGAGAGGGTTGAGGGTGGGAGCTACAACAGTATACAAAAGGATTATGAACTTCCCTTGACTGTGGGCATAGGAGCTGTTGGGCTGTATATAGACAGCTGTGCTGGTCCCGTAGAAGAGGGCCACCACCAGCACATGGGACCCACAAGTGCCAAGGGCTTTATGCCAGGCTTGGGCTGACTTGATTCTCATTACTGCTTGGATTATATACCCATATGAGATCAAAACAAGTGCCAGGGGGAGAAGAAGGAGTACCAAGGAGGCCATGAAGAGCTGGACTTCACTGGCATGGATATTTACACAGGCCAACTTGATCATTGCAGGCACTTCACAGATGAAGTGGTAAATCGTACGGTTCCCACAACGGGGCAGTCGAAGGGTTATTGTGCCCTGAATTAGGGTGTTGCCCACTCCACTCAACCATGCTATTCCTGCAAGAGAATGGCAAAGTCGTGTGTGCATAACTGTGGCATAATGGAGTGGCTGGCAAATGGCAGCATAACGATCAAACGCCATGACCGCTAGGAGGACACATTCAGTGGATCCCATAGCCAGGGAGATGTAGAGTTGAATGGCACAGCCTATACGAGTAATTGTCTTGGCTGGACTGTGGAGGTTCCGCAGCAGCTGGGGAACAATGCTGGTAGTAAAGCAGAGGTCAACGAAGGAAAGATTGGTAAGAAAATAATACATGGGTGTGTGGAGAACAGGGTCCAGACGAGAGACCAGGATGATAGCTGTGTTGCCTACAAGGGTCAGGAGGTAGGAGATTAAGACAACCACAAAGAGGACCTTCTCAAGCTGCGGCTGGTCAGAGAAGCCCACCAGTATAAAATCACCTGCCAAACTCTCATTAATCATCATCATCACCCTATGCATGAGAAGAAGAGAGGCACGTATGAAAATATACATGTTAGATAGTGAGAATGGATTAAAATTAGAAATAGTTAAAAAAAAATTGAACCTGAAAGTGAGGTATGACAGAGTATATCATGCTTTGGGGAAAGGGGAAGGAAAGGGAGAGCTGTATGACTCCAGAAGGAAAGTAAAAGTGCTCACATATTGTGAAATAAAATAGACCATACGAGGAAGGATTACAAATTTAATTATTGCTCAAATCTTCCAAATTGTTTCATTTTTTGTTGTTGTTTGGAAATCACCCTCTTTTTCCTCAACAGCATTTTCTAAGATTATAAAGAAAAGATAAAGTGAGATGTTGTCCAATGAACAAACATTTTTGTTCCCATTTTATCAGTTCTCAATAGTAAAAATAGCAAATAAGGATCAGGTATATATTTGAAAAAAAATCATCTCACTATTATAATACTCAACCTTGACACATGCATTTGTCAATATCATGCCAAGGATGCAATCTGAAATACCCAATCACCATGTAGTTTTAATTACTTAATAGAGACCAGCTACATAAAAAATTTTCTTTCAACACATTTCTTAAAATTTAAAAGTGAGGAGATGGTATTAACAGTTTTCAGAAGAAACATTGCTGTAAATTGCAAATAAGTTTTAGTGCTGTATTAGAAACATTTTGTATTTATTTACACAGTACATTTGTATATTAATTAAAGACCTAAAGCTTTTCATAAATTTCATTTTTTTATTAAGGTATCATTTATATACCATCTGATGCTCAAGTTTCACATGAGTAACATTGTGGTTACTACATTCCACCTATTATCAAGTCCCAACCACATACCACCACATACCCCATTACAGTCACTTTTCATCAGCATAGTAAGATGCTATAAAGTCACTACTTGTCTTCTTAGTGCTATAGTTCCTTCCCCATGCTCCCCCATATTATGTGCACTAGTCATATGCCCTTAATTCCCTTATCTGTCTCTTCACACACACACCCCAAGTTCCTTTCCCTTTGGTAACTGTTAGTCCATTCTTCAGTTCTGTGATTATGTTGCTGTTTTGTTCCTCCAGTTTTTTCTTTGTTTTTATACTCCACAGATGAGTGAAATCATTTAGTACTTGTCTTTCTCTGCCTGGTTAATTTGAATGGATAAAGTAGATGTGGTACATATACACAATCAAATACTATTCAGCCATTAGAAGAAAACAAATCCTACCATTTGCAAAAAAATCATTTTTTGATAGATTTCATTAAAATTGTGTTTGGACTTCATAAATTAAATTTTCCTTTATACAACTTTTTATTATGTAATAACAGAATAAGAAGTCTGTTTCATTCCATTACAAAATGTCACCAGTTAATTTAGAATCATTTTTGTTTGATAGGTTACTGTTGACCATATGCTGAAGGGTTTGAGGATAATAGAACGAATTTTTGGAAAGAGATATAAAAAAGGACGTAGTGTATTTTTCCCAATGGCAATTAAGCAACCTTTCTTAATAAGCCATGTATAAACAGAGTACTGAGGGATGACTAAGAGCCAACAGTGAATTGATGAGTTTATACTAATGTAGAGATTCTTTTCTCTACATTAGTGTAAACTAATAGTTGGCAGGATTTACCTGAAAAGGCACTGAGAAGCTGAGGGTATCTAAGGAGTACTGTTGAGTGAAAAATTCTGTGGAATGTGTGTCAGTATTAGACTGCAATAGCAATCAGACATAGAAAGCAAGAGAAATGCTAAAGTTATGTTAAAGATTTGGATTTATACACAGAATGCTGAGGGTCATCCTTTGAAGGGTTTATAAATAGGTCAAAAGAAAATAGAGATCAGGAGGGAACTGGCAATTGACATGATTTTTTGCATTTAAAGAATAACTGACCTCACAGTATCGCTCTAATGCCAAAACTAGGCAAAGACACCACAAAAAAAGAAAATTATAGACCAATATCCCTGATTAACATAGATGCAAATATCCTCCACAAAATATTAGCAAACTGAATTCAAAAATACATAAAAAAGATCACCCATCATGATTAAGTAGGATTTATTCCAGGGATGCAAGGATGTTACAACATGTGAAAATCCATCAACATCACCCACCACATCAACAAAAAGAAGGACAAAAACCACATGATCATCTCCATAGATGCTCAAAAAGCATTTGACAATTTCAACATCCATTCATGATAAAAACTCTCAAGAAAATGGCTATAGAGGTCAAATACCTCACCATAAAAAAGGCCATATATGACAAAACCCCAGCCAACATCATACTTAACAGTGAGAAGCTAAAGGCTTTTCCTCTAAGATCAATAACAAGACAAGGATGTCTACTCTCTCTAATTTTATTCAACATAGTACTGGAGGTCCTAGCCATGGCAATAAGACAACACAAGGAAATAAGAGACATCCAGATTGGTAACAAAAAGTTAAACTGTCACTGTAGATGACATGCTATTGTACATAAAAAACCCTAAAGAATCCACCCCAAAACTACTAGAACTAAAAACTAAATTCAGCAAAGTTGCAGGATACAAAATTATACACAGAAATCTGTGGCATTCCTATATATTATCAATGAACTAGCAGAAAGAGAAATCAGGAAAACAATTCCATTCACAATTGAATCTAAAAGAATAAAATACCTAGAAGCAAACTTAACCAAGGATGTGAAAGATCTATACCCTGAAAACTACAAGACACTCATGAGAGAAATTAAAGAAGACACCAATAAATGGAAATATGTATCATGTTCATGAATAAGAGGATAACTATTGCCAAATGGTCATCCTGCCTAAAGCAATCTACAGATTCAATGCAATACCTATCAGAATACTAACAGCATTCTTCCATGAATTAGAACAAATAGTTCTAAAATTCATATCAAACCACAAAAGACCCCAAATACCCAAAACAATCCTGAGAAGGAAGAAGCAAGCTGGGAAGGATTACACTCCTTACTTCAAGCTCTACTACAAAGCCACCGCAATCAAAACAGTATGGTACTGGCACAAGAACAGACCCTTATATCAATAAAACAGAATAGAGAGCCCAGATATAAACTCACACACATATGGCCAATTAATATATGATAAAGCAGCCATAGATATACAATGGCAAAAAGATAGCCTCTTCAACAACTGGTATTAGCAAAACTGGACAGCTAGATGTAAGAGAATAAAATTGGGTTATTGTCTAACTCCATACACAAAAGTAAACTTGAAATGGATCAAAGACCTTAATTTAAGTCATGAAACCACAAAACTCTTAGAAGAAAAGATAGGCAAAAATATCTTGAATATAAATATTAGTAACATTTTCCTGAACACATCTCCTCAGGCAAGGGTAACAAAAGCAAAAATGAACAAATGGGAATACATCAAACAAAAAATCTTCTGTACAGCAAAGGATACCATCAGTAGAACATAAAGGCATCCTACAGTATGGGAGAACATATTCATAAATGATGTATCCAATAAGGGGTTAATATCCAAAATATACAAAGAACTCACATGCCTCAACATCCAAAAAGCAAATAACTCTATTAAAAATGGGCAGAAGATCTGAACAGATTCTTATCCAAAGAAGAAATTCACATGGCCAACAGGCACATGAAAAGATGCTCCACAAATCATCAATGAAATGAAAATTATGGCCAACACCCGAAAGACAAGGAACAACAAATGGTGGCAAGGATGCACAGAAAGGGAACCCTCCTACACTGTTGGTGGATATGTAAATTAGTTCAACCATTGTGTAAAGCAATATGGAGGTGCCTCAAAAAACTAAAAATAGAAATACCATTTGACCCAGTAATTCCACTCCTAGGAATTTACCCAAAGAAAACAGGATTACAGATTCAAAAAGACATATGCACCCCTATGTTTACAGCTGCTCTGTTTACAATAGCCAAGAAATTGAAGCAACCTAAGTATCCATCAGTAGATGAATGGATAAAGAAGAGATGGTACATATAAACAATGTAATATTATTCAGCCATAACAAGAAAACAAATCCTACCATTTGCAACAACATGGATGTAGCTAGAGGGTATTATGCTCAGTGAAATAAGTCTAGGTGGAGAAAGACAAGTGCCAAATGATTTCATTCATTTGTGGAGTATAACAACAAAGCAAAAATGAAGGAACAAAACAACAGCAGACTCACAGATTCCAAGAAGGGACTAGAGGTTACCAAAGGGAAGGGGTTGGTGAGGATGGGTGGGGAGAGAGGGAGAAAGGGATTGAGGGGCATTGTGATTGTCACACATAATGTAGGTGGGTCATTTGGGAAAGCAGTATAGCCCCCAAAAGACAACTAGTGATTCTATAGCATCTTACTATGCTGATGGACAGTGACTGCAAGGGGGTGTGGTGGGGGACTTGGTAATTTTGGTAATGTTGTAACCACAGTGTTGCTCACATAAACCATTCATAAAAGTGTTTATCAATATACCTTAATAAAACAAAGAAAAGAAATTAGCCCCCTAAAAAAAAGAATAACTGGCCTCAGATTGCAGAATGAATTGTCAAGTAGTAAACTGACACATTAAAATTAGTTAGTAGGCTGTTGCAATACTTGAGGAAACATGACTTGGTGGTAACAGAGAAGATTTATTTTCTTAGATTCTAGGCAAAGTCTAAACAGAGATTATAGATACAGAAAATGAGAAGGAAGCATCTATGATGAGTCACAAGTTTATTTCTTGAACAATTGGGTGTCATATCCAGAGAACTATGAAAGCTGAAAAAAATATTTTCTAGAGAAAAAATTAAATCTATTGATCTTTAATTTCATGATTCCTAAAAAATTTGTATAGGTAGGGAATGTGAAACATGATTTAATTGTGCTTTTGATTCTTTTTCACACATTTTCTTTACCAGCTATCTGCTTGGATGTATCCAGGATATCATGATTGGAAATCAACATTGCTCCTTCACAAACAATTTTCACTTTACAATTTTCTATCAATTATACCCATCATTGCATAGCTAT